CCCAGAAACGTGAATGATAAGCTCAGTAAGAAGGTCTAATTTAGAGATATGGAACTGAAAGTATTTCTTCCTTATTTATCCTCACTCAAACTAAAAAGATGTACAATCGAATTTAAAAATCCCTGAAAGTATTGTTCCCTTCTTACACATTTCTCATCCTGAGTTGTAAATAGTCCCCTAGTGAACAGTATTCTAGGCATAGTTTAGATTTAGATTAAGAAAATAAATCCCAATGTTTATCCAACTAAGGTTTTTGTAGTGTGAAAGTAATTACTCACCTATTGTCGTTATCACTATGATGGAGTAGAACAAGGATCCAGCGAAGGTCCACTGAGATTTACGCAGATCCTCGTCGCCATCCCAACCGTCTGCCTTGATGGCCGTCAGGATCTGCTTTTCAAAGTTGGCCAGATGCTTGCTGACATTGGCCATCCAGTCGCTTTCCCGCAGAACCACTGCGTCGTCTGACAGAAGCCAGATATTCTCCGTGAGATTAAAGCGAAGATTCTGTATGTCTCGCTTGACCTGGAGAGGGATTTATAACTTGGTGGCTTCCTAAAAAGATCATCACCTCACCTCTAGTTCGTGGGGTCGTTCGAGGTGCTGGAAGAGGTAGGCACCGCCCACGCAATAGGAAACGACGAGGGCCACGAGCAGCACATGGGACACAATGCAGGTGAGCACCTTCCACGAGAAGCAGATGGCAGCCACACAGCGTCCGCGTTCCGGCTTCGCTGGCTCCATCATGTGCGCCGGCAGAGATTGGGCCCGCCTACCCGACATGGCCACCCTCCTCTGGTCTCCTTCCCTGGGCTAATTTACCGCTCGGTTGGCTGTAAATTATGAAATGCAAAAGAAACTAAATAAAAGGATGGTAGCGAAAAGTTCGCAGGTCGACATAAGAAATACCCTGTTCTATACTGTGTGTGTGCGCTGAGCCGCGGCAGAGAAAAAACACTGTTCCTAACTAATAGAGCAATGGTTATTAAAGTATGTGATAGGCCATAAATCATCATCGTTACTATAGAGTCCATATACTAAACCAATTTTACGAATCTTTAAATCAAAACGTTTCTCCAAGAATTCCCAATGGCTAACAGTTTAGATGAAGGCTGCCATAATCATTAAACTAATGCCTCCAAATAAACATCCCTTTTTATCTAGTCCCATGTGTTTTTTCTGGTAATCTCCAAAAGGAGCAATTACAGAGAAGCCGAAAGGTAAACGCAACAAAGCTCTATAACACATATGTTTATTTGTCCAAATATTTATTTATTTGGGTTGCTGGGGCAAGGCCGAAGATCCGGGGGGATTGGGCGCGGAAGCCACCGAAAGACTCGAGACTCCATGAGACTATTTTGGGTTTACTGCCGCCCGGCGGGGGCATTCATCTCATCGTCAAATCTCGTGCCACGCCTGTCGGGAACTCTTCTAATTCTCTTTACTTATAGACGGGGGACTACATAACATGTCCGAGCAATTATGAACTTCGATTTCATTTGGGCAATTAGCGTGGGTAATTTATGGGTCCATCGGGATTGAGTATGGAATTGCTCTTAATGATGATTACCGATCGCAGATCGCGTTTTGATTCGCACTGAAGGAAATTTTTTTAGTTTTCCAATTTAAATTCCATGCTGTATATTTGCCCCGAACCGTTTCGATCCGCACAATGAATCGACGCACCGATCCGTACGACCCACAAATTCTTACTGAGGATCGCATCCACACAGATGGACTCTCCACGGATCTCTCGGGAAATCGGTTTATTTTTGGTCTTACGCGAAGTTCTCTTGTCTTCCGTAGATATATAGTTTTGGAAAAACTTTTAGTTTCGCCTTTTCTCTGGCCTTTCGTTTGTTTTGTATTGTTTGGCTCTCACTAGCATCTCAATTTGTGGTTTGTTTACGCCGTCTCTCTGTTTGAAGAACTCATTTAATCAGCTGTTGCAGGTGGTCTATCGCTTAATCTGATAATCCATGAGATTACTTGATATTTAGTGATATATTTCTGGGATCCTAATAATAGTGTTATACCAAATTCAATTGATTTAATTTTGTGAACATTTTCAAAGACCTTTCGCATTGTTTAGAAATTTTAAACTCTGTTTTTTTTGTTTTGTGCTAAGTTCTTTGTTTGTTTTTATGCTCTTATCTCCAAGCTTATCAAAAATCGATTAGAGTCAAGTTAAACTTGACTGCCTAAACCTTTGTAACTTAAGATAAGAGCTGCAGCTGAAAGTATTTTTAGAATTTAAGCAAAAGGTTTTTAGCTTTAGTCCACATTCAATTGCCGGAAGGAGCCCTGAAGACCGAAGAGACTCTCGAAATCCACGGGTTGACCCACTCGGAGGCTCTCATCGGTTCCGTAGTTCTTCTCCTCCTCCCAATAGTTTCTGTATGCCAGAATTCGCTGCTCCCAGTCCTTTATGAGCTCTGGGATCGACCCATTCTCTCCTCCATACTCCACGGGCAAATACTTCTTGGGGATTTGGTCATAGAGTGCTTCCCATTTGGTTCCATGGACGTAGAGCTAGGGGTTTTATAAGATCTTTAGTTTTTTATAAACTTAGTTTTCAAGAGCTTTTTACTTACCCGTCCTTGCTGCTTCTTTGACATCATGGGCTTGATCATGTTGAATATGGTCTCAAATCCATTGGGAGTGTTGATAAAATGAATACCTTGAGGACGAAGTGGAAGGGCTTCTTCCTGGAAAACGGTCATCTTTTTGGCAAAAGACGGTGTCATCTGCAGGAAGTGACCGGTGGTGACATTGGAAAGGTCCAAAATGGTTATCAGTCCATTCACAATGGCCACATCATCTTCGTCGAGCATAATCTGTTGCATGAGCCCACCAGCTCGATTTACCTCCTGGAAGGTGTATTTGCTTGGATCGTAGGTGGCCATGCGAATCATAGCCAAACGCGGGCCATTATCGTTAAGAGGACGTGGCAAAATAACTAAAGTTCTAGGATAAGATTAAAACAAAGTCTAAGGCAATACATTTTACGGTTTTTGGTCTTCCGAACTCACCCTAATTTGAAAATATCCAACAGTTTCTCCACATCGACATTGTGACCCAGGTAAAACTCTGGGTACTTGGTCCTTAGTGTGTAGAACCTATCGATCTTGGCCTTGGTCCTCTCCAAACTGAACTTGCAACCCCTTAGGAAGTTCACCAAGAATTGGTCATCTGTGCGGGCTTTCAAGTGGGGTTGCTGCCTAATCCAATCCCTTAAAGCGGCTATATCATCATCCAACTTTTTGGGGACCTCGTTCAGGATCTGGATGGCATTTTTCTGGAGCTCGGGGCTCAGTGGACGGATGGAAGGCATCTCGTTGAGGTCTCCTTAACGGTCAATGAACGAATGTTGATTTTGCCACCCCAGCATTTGCGCATTTCAAGTTGAAATCGATAAGCTATCGCCTGAAAGCTGATAACCATATAGTCCGCCAAGAATAAGTAGTTACCAGCAGAGCTTATCAAAAGCATTTATTATGGGTTTATGGCCCAGATGAGTTTACAGGTATTTTAACCGATTCAGTCTATGACCAACTGGCGAAAAGAGCCATCTAGGCCAAAGTGACTCTCTTCGGGGCTCAGATTGGTGGGCTCCTCGCGTAACTTGTCGTTGGTTCCAAAGTGCTGACAGTCCTCAAAGTAACTGCGATAGCTAGAGAGCTTGGCCTCCATCTCAGTTGCCATATCCTTCATGGTTCCGTTGGAACCCCCATACTCCAGTGGTAGATAATGCTTGGGAACTTGCTCAAAGATAGCCTCCGGATCGGCAGTAACTGAAAGCTAAAAGTGGATAAGTTACAATGATTGGTTGTAAAGAAATTGTGTATTATCCTACTCTCTCTTTAATTTTTTCTGGAAACCATCCCAGCAGCGATTTGAAACCAATCTCAAAGGCCTTGGGCACATTGATGAAATGGATTCCCTTCTGACGCGTTGGCATTGCCTCATCCGCATAGGCAGAGAATTTGCTGAGAAGATGGGGCTGGAGGGCAAACAGATTCGCACCCGTCACTCCACTCATATCCATGATCTCCACGTAGCCACTGACCGAGGCATTGTCATCCTCCAGCATCATGATCTCGCCGAACATGGAACCCACTCTTAAAATATCCTGGAACTTGAACTTGTTGAGGTCATAGGAGCCAGCTCGAATGATGGTCACAGCTGGTCCAGTGTCTTCCTTATCGAGGGGAATGCGCAAGATAACTCTGGAAGCATAAAGGATAAGGGAAAGTTAACAAGAGTTACAAGGTCACAAAGTACTATCAATTACCCCATTCGAATAATCTCCAGAACCTGAGGATCGTCAGCCAATCGGTGTTCGTTGAAAACCTCAGGAATAGCCGCTTGTAAGCTGTAAAATCGATCAATCTTTTGCTTGGCTTTCTCCAGGCTGAATTTCGATCCCCGGAGAAAGCTGAGCAGGAACTGATCCTCAAGGCAGGCGCAGATATGAGGTTGCTTCTGCAGCCATTCCTTGAGGGTAGCGATGTCCGATTCCACCCTACTTGGCACCTCGTTAAGCTCCTCAATGGCCACTTTTTGCAGAGCCGGCGGTAGAGGTCTTATGGTCTTAAAACTTCCAATCATTTTGGTAGCGCTATCAGTTGCAGACTAACCAAAATATTAAACACTTAACTCCGACAATGCATTTCGAAATGGTGAACACTCTAATAATATTCAAAGCGATAAGTTACGACTAATCTGAGTAGCGATTAGCAGGGGTATAAGAAAGTTATGTTTGCGGGTTTATTCTTTAGTGCCATTTGCTTTAAGGTTATATTTTCAAGCATTATATCTTTATATTTAATAATATATTGGTCCTGTTGGTCCTGTAAGAAATCATACATTTTAAGAATTCAAAGAGAGCATTAACCTTTCAGAACAGTCAGAAGGAGGAGGTCAGAACACACAAGTTCACAAGTCGTTTTAGATAAGGCCTGCCTGCTCCGGCGTTGCCACAAAAGAAATCGTACAACTTTAGTTTAAAAACTTTATTCAAAGAGAAAAAATCAATTAGGCTAGTCATGAACTACGGAACTAAGACTTATCAACTAGTTACCCGGTTGAAGCTGCCACCGTAACTAAACCTAGTCTGGGTTGCAGTTGTATTGAGATGTTGCATAAGACATTTTTTTATAATATATGGGTAGATTTAAATGATCTATAAATACGCTGATCTGATGGGCTGTCGTAACCTAGGAGTGGATTGCTATTGCACAGAAGCTGGAGTAGATCTTTCAGAATATCTTTTAGTAGAGGCCGGAGGGCAGATCCGTCACCTTGGACATGGATCCCTGGGTGTGGGATCGCGTTCGCATGGTGGGACCCTGGATCTGTCCACCATTCGGAAGGCCAAATCCAGAGTGATCGTGCATCCGCATGGCCAGGTTGCTGGTGAAGTATATCTGTTGGTTGCTGCGCGACTTCTCCCTTCCGATGGCCGCCTCATTGAGGGCTTCGGGATGAGCGGAAGCGAAAGCGGCCTCCAGGCGCTCCACATTCTTGGTGACCCTCCTGGCCTGTAGGGCAGCCGAGATATCGGGCTTCGGATATTTCTGCGGTGTGTTCATGCCGGTCATGAAGAAGACCCCGTTGAATTGCTGGGCTGGGGGCGTGGGTGGAGGAGGAGCTGGGGCCTTGACCTTCACCGGGTGATGGGGAATCGTCGTCGCCGGCGCCGTGTCCTGGGCACTCTTCCTCAAGGCCTGCATGGTGGGATCGTGTTCGTCGTGCCGCGCATTCATGATCACATCCAGGAGCTCCCGATTCGTGCTGGCATTGTACGCAGTGGCCGTGGCATTCGCCTCCGGCATGTCGGGAGTGGGTGAGTCCATTTGGTACGATGCCGGCTGATCCGTCTCCGGAGCGTCGTAGTCCACCTCGTCGAAGAAGCTCTGCATGGCGGCCAAACGCTCGGCGGCAGCGGGATCTCCCGGTTGGTGCAAGACCATGCCATAATCCGAACCCTCTTGGTCGGAGCAATCAGTGCGGGCCACCAGATGTGCCAGCGAACGGGATTTCCTCGGAGGCTGTGGTACTATGTTGACCGGGACAATATCCTTCTCCACGGAGCGATGGTGGCGCATCTTTGAGCGGGAACCACTGCTCGCCTGGCTGCTGATCTGCTTTTCCGCCTCGCTCACAATGTTGTCCAGCTCCTCGATCACATCCTCAATGGTGGCCGCATCATCCTCATCCTCCTCCGGCACAACCTTTCGTGACTGCTTCGCCTTGGAGGGGAGGACCAAAATGGGCACTGGACTGAGGGATGCTCCCGTCTCCGAGCTGCTGATACCCTCGTCCTCGTGCTCCGAACTGCTCTGCTTGTTCTTCTTGGGCGGAGGAACCTGGCGCGGAAGGGCCACCGGCTGGTGGCCGGAGGACTCTACTGGCTTGAATTTGGACTGCTGCTGGTTGCCCTGCAGGCGGAAGATCTCGCGCTGCAGCTCGGCACATCGTTCTTGGAGACGCCGCTCCATGGAGGTCAGCACGGCCTTCTCCTCGTGCAGGATCTGCACCCTTCGCTCCAGGATGACCATCTGGCTGCGCACGCGCTCCGCATCCCTGGCCTGGGTTATCATCTGGTCCACATCGATATGCAGTTCGTTGAAGCGCTTCACCTCGATCTTCAGGGCATCCAACCAGGGAGATGAGGAGGAGATAGTCCTGGCCAAGGTGCTGGCATCTAAGCCCGCCTGGAAGAGCTCGGCCTGGATGTACAGACGCTGCTGGATGCTCACGGCGCTCTCGATGAAGGTGTTGAGGAATCTATAAGAGATTAAAAGCGTTAGGTAATCTGTTTTAGATTTCCGTAGCAGATTCCCTTACTTAACACCCGCACACTGAAGCTCCCCAGAACCGCCGCCGCTGTTCAGGATGCCCACCAGCAGGCGAAAGCGAACCGGTTCACTGCATCTCAGTCGCAACGTGGACATGGCATCCGACACGGCTGTGTGTCCCGCTGAGGCTATCTTCTGACCACCACTGCCGCTCCCAAAGGGCTGGCGATCGCAGGCGGATGCGAGCAGCTGGAGGGCCAGGATGCGGGCTCGGATGCCCTGACCCGTGGCCGAGGAGGCCAGGGGCATAAGACCCACTGGTGTGTTCCCCAAACGGGCTATGGCATCCAGGGATCGCGAGCTGCAGATGCTCAGACATTGCCTGGAGGGGATTATGGATTAGTATACCTTCTAAAGAAGATTTCAAGACGGTTCCAACTCACAGGCAAGACAACTCATCCAGCAAAGCACGACGCTGATAGCTCTGGGGATTCCTGGTCAGGGCCAGGGAACTACTGGCTCCTGGCAGTGGAGCAGGGGCGTTGCTGGCCTGGGCCATTTGAATGGCGCGCAGGACCTCCAGCAAGTGGCTGATACCGTCAGCAGGAGTACCCACAAATTCCTGGACAAAGCTGGAAGGAAACTTTGTAAGAACAGAGATGGATAGGATAATATGTCATCCTCACCTGGGAAAGGAGACCCGCAGATCAGCCCTCAACTTGGTGAGCAAATCTGTGATGGAGCCAAACTGACGCAGGGACATCTCTCTGTCATTTTCTGGCGGAGCAGGAATGGGAGATCTAAAGGGATTAAGGGAAAATATTAGAGAGTTGGCCAGTAGGGCTACAAGATCCAATCCGTACTTGTACTCCGAGTGTTTGGCTGGGAGGGTGGCCGATCGAGAGGCCTCTTCCTTGGCACTCGGACCCGTGCTCACATCGTAAATAGTTAGCTTCTTGGCCGAACTGCTGGCCTTGATGAACTTTCTCAGCGAGTGCACATAGTCCTCGGGATTGTAGACTGGTGGTCGTTGGTTTTCCTGTAATCCATATTTTATAAATAATTATTTCCGAATTTCGGTTTTTTAGCTTAGAGTTCTAAGCCAAACCGTTTTTACTATCGGTTGACTTCTCTATTATAAGGAGGCTCTTTTATCTGTTAGTTAAGATTACTAATTACCTTGCTGTAAACTGGTGCCTGGGGCCAGCTCTGCTCGGAGCCGCCAATCTTGTAGGAGGCCAGGGATCCGTTTAGACTGCTGGCTCCACACTTGTTCGTCCCCGAGCTATTCGATCCGCCTGCCTTCTGCGGGGGAACCTGACTGCTTTGACCCTGGCCGGCCATCTCGCACACACTGGGAGCCATCTGGGGGAGGTGCAGTTGTCCCGGGTGACGAGGTTGCGGATGGTGTCTCTGCAGTGTCGAGCTGTCGCTGCGTTAATTGGAAGGGGAAAACCAATCGGGTGGAGTCAATTAATGTACGTGCTTGACATGGGAGAACTTGAATTTGCATATAGGTAGGTATATAAAAAAGTGGTTGGTAGCTGGAGCTGGGAGTTTGGAGTTTGGGTCGCCACCACGTAACGCACCGGAAAAACAAGCCGTTAAGTTTATTGAACATTTCGAGCCAAGGCTTATCTGCAGTCGGAGTTGGAGTTGGAGTTGGATTTTGAGGTGGTTTCTGTGGTGTCTCTGTCTCTGGACAGGTGCCTTTGCATATATCCGCTGTCAACGACACCCAGATCGCAAAGAGGTGTCTGGCATGTGGGCTGCAGGCCTGTTTCCTAGCCACCACTAACCGATCCGATCGAACGCGATTTTGATCTGTGACAGTCGCTGATTTGTATTTCAATTTCGGTTTCTGCCTTCAATGAAAATTAGCATTTTAATATGCTAGGAATAAAGACACTTTCACTGACTAGCTAGCCGAGCTGATCAAAACATCATGGGCTGAAGTTCCCTCTCGAGAGACCCGAGTACCGTTAAACCACAATGAGGGGTTAACGGTTCATATGTGGCTATGCAAATCGCATATGCCATTGTGCTCGGGTGGTTATGACGTGCCACTCAGGTGGGTTACCTCAACCCAACTCAACTCAACTCAACTCAGTCGGTATCAATCAGTTCCAATCAGTCACGTACCGCGGATGCTCAGTTATGCCGGGGAGTGGGTCTGATTTGATTCTTTCGTCAGGTGTGCCTGAGTTCCACGTACCCCTCACGCAAGTCCAACTCCAAGCCTGATTGACTGGGGTTACCATGGAGATGCGGTTCCCACAGCAGCCCAGACACAAAAACACTTCGATCAATGTCAGCAGCCATTGGCCGCAGACAGGAGAAACTCAAAACTCAGATCTCGACGGCAGCTGCGAACCGTGTTGAAAGATCACTCAAAACAGAAACCAAGGAGGCGGGGTGCGAGCTCTCAAATTTGCATAAATCAATTTGTGAGACAGAAATTGAAAACTGCTCCACAAAACTGGAATTGATAAGCCGTGAAATGGCACCCCGGGCTAATGGCTTCGAAGAGTGCTCTCCATTAGTTGCAATAGATGTCCAACCGATTTTATTTAGACCGAGATGGTCGTGGGTAATTTCGTTTCATAGCACTCTGTCAGGGTCATTGATTGAAATGGAAAACTAAATTTTGCTGAGAAATCCTAGTATTAGATCAGTAGAGGTCTAATCAGGAAAGTATTCGTTATTGAAAGTATTCGTTTTTGTATTTTGAACTACTTAGTTTTCATAGATACTTCTACGACACTATAATTCCCTACTGGTTCTAGTCACAGCGTATTCTCAATGCTGAATTTAAAAGTAGTTAAGGATTGGGGTATGAAGTCATTTTATTCGTGGTCAAAATCAGTTTAGAAGCACTCATCGATGGATGGCAACCATCCGCTGCAGTAGTGCCAGACGGCCCAGGCGGACCACCCCTGCTGGCTGAGAACCTTTTGGGCACAACGGACGGAGTTGGTAATGTCATCGCTCAAGAGGGCGTTGCAGCTGAGACCGCACTCGTTGTAGGAGAAGCGACCATCGGCCTGGCACCAGTACAGATCGTTGATCTGGAAGATTCCGTAGTCGTTGGATCCGTCGGAGTTGGCGGGTCCCACCACCCAGGTGCGGTAGTCACTCTCGTGCTGGGCAATGCAGGTCCACTTGTCCAACTGATCACGGGGAACTCCCAGGTCAGACATCTCACGGGCCAAGGAGCACCGATCCATGGTACGTCCTGCCAAAGCAGGAGCGGCAATAGCCAGAGCCACCAGAGCAAAGAAAGCCTTCATATTGATTTGTTTAAACAAAACTGTCTGAATAACTGAGCTTCCACCATGGGTATTTATGGAAAGTTAGTCCTCCAACGTTCTTCGATCTATCAGTCCTCGAGTTCTGAAGTTCAAATTCTGAACACTCAGAGATAGAAATATAATTAAAAGCCATACGTTTCAAGATTTAAATAATTCAACGAGAGTCAAAACAACAAAAAAGAAAGCAAAGTATTTTATCAGCAAAACGGGTACATCAAAAGGTTTAATCTCAAAAAACACAAATAAACCTTACTGCTTAAAACACTGCATAGTTTCAGGCAAGCAGAACTTAAGTATAAGGCATAAGGATTTTAACTGGTGATAAGTCTTTATCAACTACCTTGAATATCCGGTGTTTACCAAAATGTAGTTTTTGTTTGGGTTTTTTAAAATCATTGAATTGAGGAGGTAGATAAAGAATATTTATTTAAATGAAGAAGAACTGATAACAATTTAACTAAAAATAAAACACAAATATGAGATAGATCAACATAGAATTTATTGGGCATTTCTTAAAAATGATTTTATGTCGACATATTAATAAAATACCGGGGTCATTAATTTCTAAAATCTGACACTGATTGGTCCAATAAACGTTTTTAAATTATTCTTAAGATGTTCATTGCAATTTGCAATCAATTTTTGCGTATTTTAAAATGGTTTCTTTAAAATTATATCAACCCCATCCTATATTTATTTTTTTGCGTTTCAAAATACAAACAATGTAAATTGAAAAGATGAAACATTTTATAGGATGGGATTCCTATAAGTCGAAGATTTTGAATAGCAATTTAGTTAAAAATCTCTAGTTTTTAGGGACACACCTGTAAGAAGTTGTCTATTTCAATTTATTAACCATATTCGAAGTTTTAAAATTGTTTTACGATCGTCGGCACGAAATAAAAGAACATTTTGCCTTCCATTTGTGTGAGTTATTTGAGCGGGGCAGCTTATTAATGTGTAAACACTGTTTGTGTGCCGGCAATCAACGAGCAGAGCTATCCCCAGCGCCCGCTTAATGGGAAGCTGCCGACCAATGTTTTAAGTTAAGAAAGAATCAGATGATGTTTACATGCAATAGTTTTATTTTAGTTCGTGGTCGAAATCAGTTTAGAAGCACTCGTCGATGGACGGCAACCATCCGCTGCAGTAGTGCCAGACGGCCCAGGCGGACCATCCCTGCTGGCTGAGGACCTTCTGGGCACAACGGACGGAGTTGGTAATGTCATCGCTCAAGAGGGCGTTGCAGCTGAGACCGCACTCGTTGTAGGAGAAGCGACCATCGGCCTGGCACCAGTACAGATCGTTGATCTGGAAGATTCCGTAGTCGTTGGATCCGTCGGAGTTGGCGGGTCCCACGACCCAGGTGCGGTAGTCACTCTCGTGCTGGGCAATGCAGGTCCACTTGTCCAACTGATCACGGGGAACTCCCAAGTTTGACATCTCACGGGCCAAGGAGCACCGATCCATGGTACGTCCTGCCAAAGCAGGAGCGGCAATAGCCAGAACCACCAGAGCAAAGAAAGTCTTCATGTCGAATTGTTTGAACAAAACTGTTTGACTTACTCGACTTCTGCCCCGGGTATTTATGCAAGACTAGACCCCCAACTGTCGTTTGGTTATCAGCCTTTGGGCTTAGAACACTCGAAGATAGAAATATAATTAAGGTTAACTGTTTAAAATATTTCTATTCGGAGCAAAACAACATTATCAGCAGAACGAGTGCATCGTAGGGTTCCATCTTAAAGAACACAAAAGAACTCAGTTTTCGGAGAGTGCTGCATAGTTTTAGGCTGTCTTCCAACCCAAATAGAGGTCACAGAGCTTTCGAATGATAAGCCACTATCACTATCAACCACCTTGAATGTAAAGTGTTATCCATATTTCGTCATCGTTTGGGTTGTTCAAGTTCATTGAATGTAGGAGAAAGGTAGAGACCTCGACGCGCCTTCAAACTGATTAGCATAATTGCTGTTATATCAACAATGGCGATGAATTGGCTAGAAGGGGCTCCCATTGAAGCCCATTTTGTTAGAGTAGCCGAAAAGTTTGATGGAGCTCTGGAACCGCCCAAGTGGTAGTCCAGATGATTAATCACAGTTTCGGACCGGCCATAAACCAGACCACAACCGGGGGCTAATAGCTGCAGTCAAGTGGAGCTCTTTCGCCATTAAACCTGCGATTCCGAACTCCACTTCAAAGTCGGACATTAAACTTGGGGATGGGAATTCGTCTGGGCGAAAGAAAGAGCCATAGCCCGCATGTATTGCAATTTCCAGACTCGAATACCTCGAATGCCGCACAATGAATAACGTTGAATAATTAGCCCCCACATGCAACCCCACCCGAGTTGCGTGAGCAGGGACCCACCAAGACAATACAATGTCTACTATATTAGAGATAAATATTTCGAATAGATGGTGGAAGACAGACTTCAGGCAGCTAACTTGAAGCGAATGGATCTCTTACGCACAAAGACCTGAGATACGCTTTTATTCCGATTTATTCAATGCGTAGAGATTGTCTGCTCGAGTGTGAAGAAACTGAAGAAACTGCCATATCTGGTCGCTAAACGCTTCCGTATTTTTTGGGGGTATGGTACTCGAATTGCCTTTTGTTGAATATGGATATTGTTCGATTTGTGAGTGTGTTTGAACCGAAGATAGCGTATGTAATCAACTGATAAAAAGTCAAACTTAAAGACATTTGTTTAACTAAATTTAGATCAGCAAACATAGTATCATTTAATTTGTTGCCAAAAGTTCTTAATTGACTGCCTTTATGAATGCATAAAGTAAAACCGAAAGCGACCAAAAATCATGAAAATGTTTGGTGCATTTGTATATTCTATGGAACATTTAATTTTACGGAAGAGTGGATTTAACTGCCGACGTTGTATGAGAAAGCCACCTTATTTGCCCCTCTAATGATGGGTAAATAGTACTGATTGCACTTTCCGAGTAAGTAGTTCTACAATGTTGACTCAACTGCGACGACTAGACTGCTTTTCTTGGGTATAAATATTTCGAGACTGAAGATGGAACAATCAGTGAATAATTGCATCTTATTGTGAGTAAAATGAAAGCCTTCTTTGTGATTTGTGTAGTGGCTCTGGCAGCAGCCGCCACTCAGGCCCGAACGATGGATAGATGCTCCCTGGCCAGGGAGATGGCCAATCTGGGGGTTCCCCGGGATCAGCTGGACAAGTGGACCTGCATTGCCCAGCACGAGAGTTCCTTCCGCACGGGCGTGGTTGGTCCAGCCAATTCCAATGGATCCAACGACTACGGCATCTTCCAGATTAACAACAAGTACTGGTGCAAGCCGGCCGATGGTCGCTTTTCCTATAACGAGTGCGGTTTGAGTTGCAACGCCCTCCTGACCGATAATATCACCAACTCCGTGAGATGTGCCCAGAAGGTTCTGCGCCAGCAGGGGTGGACTGCATGGTCCACCTGGAAGTACTGCAGCGGATCCCTGCCCTCGATCAATAGTTGCTTCTAAAATCTTAACAGATTTCAGGAATAAATGTGCTAGACCAAAAAAATATTCTCTTAATCCACCCAGAACAAGGTTACCCCTAAGAGGAAGAGCTTTATCTAACTTTAAAGTAAACAAAAGTGTTTCTAGAAACTACATACCAAATATTAAAAGAGGACAGAAAATATTATGTTATATAACTGGAAATATCTGTAGGTCAAAACAGTTAGATAGTTAGAAGATGGTATGTAATATATCATGGAATCGATTCTTCTGAACAGCAGATAGATTAACATAGTATAAGAATCTGACAGAAGAACTTGTACACTGATCGTAAAAAGCTCATCTTCGATTTATGGCATATTTCCAATATTTTAAGACCCCAATTTCTCAAGTGTAGTTGGCTGGTGATCTCTTAGCAATTGCAAAACTGTCTCCAAATGGAAATAGGAGAGCCTTTTTGGCTCGACGGGCGGCGAAAAGTGAAATTTTATATAATGGCCCCACATAACAGAGTCATTATGACAGTTGGCCTGGCCAAAGCGACTGAAATCTATTAGACATTACTACAGGCCGGCAAAGCGGAGCTTCAGTCTTGGCCAGCAAACAGCAAATAGCAAATGGTAAATGGTAAATGGCTGGTAAACAAGTTAATTTAATTTCCAGGCATAAAACAAATTACGTATGAAAAGTCGCCGTTATCGAGGCGTTTATTTATCATGCCTGCTATGCTGGTGTATATTTTAGTCTCGTTGAAGAGTCTTAATGTCTCTAGTGGCAAGTGCCAACGGACTTTGGCTCGGATTGAAAACAATTTCGATTCAATTACATCTATGGCAGAGCAGAGACATGATGTAGGTCTATGGGATTGCCATATGCGGCTAATCGCTGGAGATCAACTTTGCCATTTAGAGTTCGTTTAGGCCTGGCCAGATGGCAAAAAAAGTAAGATAAAAGGCAAAGACAAGTACGAGTCGGAGAGCCTAGAGCCTAATGTATTAATTTGTAGCGCTATTCTCAAGGGTGTCGGTGGAATGGCATTCCTTTAATTGGATTAGAAAATATAAGCCATATACCAGGGTTTTCTAACCACTACAAACTTTCCCAATCAAGGCGTGTTCTCGGCCACCACACCATTTCGGACAGCTCATAAAATTAAGAAGAATTAAGAAAATTCCGTGGAAATGGGAAAGTTTCTCTTCTCGTGTCAAGCCGACACCTTGCCAAATTGTTACACAAGCCGCTAAAACACACGAAAAGATATATGGCCAAGATCTGAGTGTCTATCTGAAACCCAGTCTTTGGGATCGGATGTGGGCTTACGTTCGGTGGTGATGGTGTGTGGTGGCATTCATTCGCTGACGATGATGCCAGAGATTAAGTCACCGCTGACAGGCAAAAGTTCTCATGGCAGTTCCATTTCTTTCTTCGCCATTTGCATTTCTGTGTTGTTTGCCATTTGTCTCTAGTCTTGGCTGAAATTTACCCACACTCACCGGGCCAAAATGAGATAAAACTATTAGGAGAATTTAGCAACCGACAAAGCCGGAGAGAAATGTGGCCACTTTTCAGCTGTCAGAGATCTCTCCAAGGAGATCCCAAACAGATTTCCCAAAGCTGTCAGCTCCCTTGAGCTACGATTCGAGATCGCATCGCCCATCTCCGACTTTTGTCATCTTTTTGATTGTGCTCTGGATAGTGCATTGAGAGAAATACATTTTTAAAATGTTACAAATTGTTAATAAATCGTTTTATTTCTCTGAAAGCAAAGAAAGATTTTAATTAACCTAGTAAATGTTTTTCTAGAATTATAAATTTTAATATAGAACTTCATTTACACCACATTCTTGAATTATTCATATCTAAAATTTACTTATACTCAAAGAAATCCGTAGGGTTTTAAATCTATAATAAAGATGTTTAAAGATATACAATAGCATATTTTGACCACAACAGTCTGATGGAATTATTCCAAAAAAAAAAATTTTATAAAGCTTTAAGAGAGAGTTCAAAACGCCAGCTATTTGTATTTGTAAATTAGGCTTTTGAAAATGTAACAACAAGCCAAATCAATTAGTTTTTTCCAAGTGTAGTGACGACTGTCATGCTTGACGGCTTCGCGCTTGACTCTAAATTAAAATGGTTTTCTTCAGTGGGTTTTTTGTTTTTGGGAACAGATTTTCCACCGCTCATTATAGTTTTCACTGGGACTTTTGGGGCGCAGATTGCAGTGGGCCTGCCCGCCCGAGGTTATGTATCAGCAGACCTCAGCTGTCAAATAATATAATTAGGGTTTATGCTTTCGTTGAAACTATATCGCAGCGGGGTCTTCGAGTCTCTGGAGCTTGCCTTTTGACACAGTTGCGTTTTGGGGCTGTCGCGGAGAAATGTTCATAATTTGTGAGCCGAGTTTGTGAGAGGTAATTGATGCCGAAAGCGGCTCAAACCGGGGGCCAAAGCAGGTGTCACTGGTCTTACGACGCAGTTGGCCTGTCAATGACAATGGCTGCTGAAGATCATGTTAACTTAACCGGGCGGAAAAATAGTAACGCGATCGTTTCGGGATTGTGCAAGTTCAGCGAGGGCCTGAGCATCTACAGAAGACTCACCATACCTAGAAGTCACAACGTCACATGTCTGGTAATCAGATCCTGTCTAGCTTTCTCGCAGAACATTCCAGATCACTCAACCGATCCCCAGTAATCACGTCCACACACTGTTGACTCCGCTAAACGGGGAAGCCAACTGCGACGATGAGGATGGGACTTTGACTTCTTTCATTTTTCAGGAGAGTATCAAGGAACTCGTGCGCTGATAATGGTAAACCCCCGTTGGTTTTTAGAGATATCCACTATCGGTCTAAGCGATTTGTACAATTTGAGACATCGGTTCCGTGATTATATGCCAAGTGGAAAATTGTCCAAAGATATGTCGGCTTGAGAGGCACCATTGATAATTTAATTACGATAAGTTATCTCAAATGAAAATCACATGAATTGCTAAATTCGTTGGTTTTTGGACAGCCCATTTCCAGATTTCACACTTTCTATTATCAGTAGATCAGATTTTAAGGGGGTTTTTCGGTCCTTCCTCGCATTTCATATGCTAATATGTTTGTAGTTCTTCACTATATCTACTAAACTTGTAGTATTTAAACATTTTGAACTGCTCCAAGGATTTTCTTAATCTAAACAATCCCTACTTACTCATTTTATTTTCTTAGATATTTAATAGAAATCGGTTGACCCAGAACTTTTTATTGTGCCGTTTGTTTCTTCAAACTTATCACCTCTATCTTCTTTATGAACCATTCGTGTGTTCAGTTGGTACACCTGGAGAAGTTCGCACTTCCTAAAAGATATTCATTAAAGTCTGCCACATTTTGCTCTCCAGAAACCCGTTTCCCAAGCACCCTTCTCCCAATTCCTGCAGTTTGTCATCCAGTGCTACCCAGACCAATTAAATGGGCCACAATCCAAGTGTAAACCTCACCCTGTGGTAAGTCGGTTCCAACGTTGTGTGGTTATCTGTAGACCATCATAACTTAACGCTACAGTGACTTCCAGCAATTGTTTTAGCCTGACCCACGCAATGTCGCTCCAGAGGGCGGCGAACCTCAACCTGGGGGCAATTACTTATGCATTTCCAGGCCCGACTTGTGCTAATGTGCTCAGATTATAGGAAACACTCTTTACCAGGGCTCTTCTGGTCTCCCTCTTTCTCCTCCATAGGAAGCCAGGAATGGTACGAGTATAATTTTCCGGTCTTTGGTTTCCTGCTTTGTTTTAGCCTGCTCCTCAGACGATCAGTCCCACAGCACTTACTCAGCAGAGGGTCTTGGTCTGTGCGTTTCCACCTTTCCACTTCCTTTGGACAATCTCTGGGTTCCCGTTCCCGTTCTAAGAAGTCAAGATGTGTTCGGTGCCCAGCCGAAGTACGTTTATCACCAGAGTGAGAGACGGCTACTTGTATAATTTATTGCCCACTGTGCTGGTCAGTGGCTACATTAAGAATTCATTGACCGGTCCAACTCAAAGTCATCGGCCTGTGGAAAGGCGAACAGGAGAAGGGCAGAGAGGCTGTAGCTCTTTCTTCGATTTTCTCCCATTAGATTTAGAAAGTGTGTGGAGAAAGAAAAATAACCAAAGAATCTTGAAATGTTCAGAACTGTTGGCTTACGAACATAAAGAAATATCTGATTACTGCTATTGAGCAAAACCAAATAAACATGACTTGTAATGCCCTATTATATCAAGACATAAAGAGTCTCAGTTTAGGTAATCCAATAGAACAAGGGAAGGCTTTAGATTTAATCCAAGTTGATTGAGAACCAAGCAGGCGTGACTTCTAATGACTTAATATATCATCGTCTTAAGATACAAATTTGAAGAGAACCATAAGAACAAGACAAAAATCGAAAGTTTATTGACCGTCAAGGAAGAATTAACAGGGAGCTCATTTTTCAATAAGGGTCTAGTCCTGATTAATCAACAGATATGGTATTATGCAGTATTTTCTAATATGTATGATGATAATATAGTAATGGTTTGTTAAATAAAGCCAATATCAATATCAATACTTTACACCAGCATGACTTTACAAAATATATGCAACATGGTTAACAGTAAAACCAAAATTTATTTTTAAATTTAAACATTTGGCTATACCAAAATATTTTGATAAGATACACACAAAAGGCACGCGCTGAAGAAACTCGGGGATTTTTTCAAGATATTTTCATTGATAAATGTAAGGGCTATAATTGGTTATCTATGATTTAATCCGCTTTTTTCTAGACAGTCAATAAACTATCGACTTATATTATAGGTCGCCATTTGTGTATCTATCAACTTGGATTTATTTTTAAGCTTTGGCTTGTCCTTTTGGATTACTTAAACTTAAGGTTTAACATAATAGATACCTATAAAAGTCATGTTTATTTAGTTGTCTTCATCCGCTTACAGCTTTTTCTACGCTGTTAAATCTGACTTCAATTGAAGATGATTCAAGGAAGAAATGCTTTGGTGATCTTTAGATTTTCACTTTCTCTCAGCTGAAAATCCAAAC